ACTTGTTTCGTGCAGGATCTTTCCCCTGGTCTTGATAAATTATCTCCACGAGCAATCAAATGCATATTCCTTGGCTACTCTAGAGTCCAAAAGGGTTACCGTTGCTATTCACCTTCTACTCACCGTCTATACTTCTGCAGATGTCACTTTCTTTGAGGATCAACCATATTTCACTTCACCAGCGGAAGTTGAATCTGTCTCTCAAGTCTTACCTATTCCTCATCTTACCCCATTGTCACCTCTCAGTCCTCCATTGTCTTCTTCCAAGCCTCTCATTACTTATCATCGTTGACTGCGGTCTGCACCTAATGAGGATGTCCCTACTAATGACCCTGTAGATTCATCTCCAGCTTCAGCTCCTTTACCCACTCCGGACCAACATGAGACACCGACTCAACCTGATCTTCCAATTGCAACTGGAAAAGGTATTCGTTCCACTCGAAACCCGCATCCTATTTACAATTGTTTAAGTTATCATCGTCTATCTCCTTCCCATTATGCTTTTGTGTCCTCCATCTCTTCTGTTTCCATCCCTAAAACTGTCCAGGAAGCTCTTGCCCATCCAGGATGGCGCCAAGCTATGCTTGATGAAATGGCTGCCCTTGAAATTAACCGTACTTGGTCTCTTGTTCCCTTGCCCCATGGGAAATCTACTGTTGGTTGTCGCAGGGTGTTTACAATCAAAGTTGGTCCTGATGGACAAGTTGATCGGCTGAAAGCACGTTTGGTTTCTAAAGGGTTTACTCAAGTTTTTGGCTTGGATTATGGTGACACTTTTTCTCCGGTTGCAAAAATGGCTTCTGTACGTTTGTTCTTATTTGGCAGCTATGCGTAGCTGGCCATTACATCAGCTGGACATAAAAAATGCCTTCCTTCACAGTAATTTACAAGAAGAAGTTTACATGGAGCAACCACCAGGGTTTATTGCTCAGGGGGAGTGTAGATATGTGTGTCGGTTGCATAAGGCCTTGTATGGTCTTAAACAATCCCCACGAGCGTGGTTTGGCAGATTCAGTACGGCTCTCAAACAGTTTGGGATGATTCAATGCAAAGCAGAACACATCGTGTTCTATAAAAAATCTTTATCTAATCAATCTACTTACCTTGTTGTTTATGTTGATGATATTGTAATAACAGGGGATGATCATGATGGCATAAAGAACCTTAAATTGTATTTGTCCCAGCAATTTCAAATCAAAGACTTGGGACAACTTCGTTACTTTCTTGGAATCGAGGTAGCTCAATCCAAAACTGGTATTGCCATATCCCAAAGAAAATATGCTCTTGATATTCTGAAGGAAACCGGGATGACAGATTGTAAGCCGATTGATACTCCAATTGATCCAAATGTTCGACTTTTGCCAGATCAGGGAGAGCCCATCTCCAATCCTGAAAGATATCGACGGCTTGTGGGAAAGTTAAATTATCTCACTATGACCAGACCAGACATCTCCTTTGCTGTGAGCGTGGTTAGTCAGTTCCTCAACACGCCATGTGATAGTCATTGGGATGCAGTCGTTCGAATCCTAAGATACATCAAAGGTTCACCTGGAAGAGGACTTGTGTATGCAAACCGGGGTTATGACAATATTACTGCGTATTCAGATGCGGATTGGGCCGGCTGTCCAAACGATAGGAGATCAACTTCAGGGTACTGTGTTCTCATTGGTGGAAACCTAATATCCTGGAAGAGCAAGAAACAGAGTGTCGTTGCTAGATCAAGTGTTGAAGCAGAGTATCGAGCCATGGCTCTCACCACTTGCAAACTTATATGGTTGAAACAATTATTATCTGAGTTAAAGTTTTGCAAACTGAAGCCTATGAAACTGATCTGTGATAACCAGGCAGCTTTATACATCGCTTCTAACCCTGTCTTTCACGAACGAACAAAGCATATAGAAATCGATTGCCATTTTATCCGTGAAAACGTCATTTCTGGAGAAATCTTCACATCCTTTGTCAATTCAAATGATCAGTTAGCTGACTTTCTCACTAAGTCACTCCGCGGTCCGAGGATAAGATATATTTGTGACAAACTTGATGCATATGATATCTATGCACCAGCTTGAGGGGGAGTGTTGAGATTTGATATGATTCTAAATAATATCCTTCCTGATTTTAGTATTTATTGTACAGATTGTATCAAATCAGCAGTTAGTAATTGATAGATGTACATTTGATTCTTTCCTTGTAAGTTGTAATTCTGAACCTTATAAATAAAGATTAGCTGAGAGTAGTTTCTCTCAAGCAAATTCAAATCAGTAAATTCAAATAGTACCAAAGTTTCTTCTAGAATTCTCCATACCCATTTTTTAAGAGTATGGTGCTGGTTGAAAGGTGGACACAGAGCTCATTTGGTTCATTTGTCAGTGAAGGTAGAGTCACAGAGGAGCCAGAACGCATTCCAAATAAATTTATGATTTCATTATCTGGATTGCTGCTGTTAGATTGGTGAAGAACACAAGCTTGACAACACCATGAGTTTGCTAATATTTGCTTCACAAAATCCCCTAGAAAACCTCAGAGCACCCAAAACAAAATAAACTCTTTATCAACTTCGATCCCTTCTGTACCTTGACAGTAACAAATGAAAAACTTGGTCTTGAGGATTTCGTGATTTTATGAGAAAAAACTAACTGTAAAGAAAAAAGAACGAAATGGGGTTTTCATTAAACCTAGAAAACACGTGTTTTTTTCTTATATATTTGCTGCTTCTCTTCATATCACCCATCCCCTTCCCTTTTAAAATTGGTATGAAGTTTTTTTGTATCAGGCTTCTCTGTGATTTGGTTCTCTTCGAAGATCCAATCAAACTTCTGCAGAAGATGATGTGACAAAAATGTTAGGGTTCAGAAAATCTCTATTAAGATAAAATCATCAAGTTATCTATCAATCAATCAGACTTCTGCCATGGCCATTCCCTCCCCTTTTTAAATTGGTATGAAGATTTTTTTTTGTGTCCACTTACTCAGCAATTTGGTTCTCTTCCAAATTCCAATCAAACTTCTGTAGAAGATGATGAGCCAAAGATGTTAGGGTTCAAAAATTCCTTAGTAAGATAAAATCATCAATTAATCTATCAATCAAACATCTGCCATGGACTTGTAGAAGCTCTGGGAATTACTTGACTGAAGACTGGAGAAGCCACAGACCACAGTAGGTTACATGTCACGTAACAAAAGTCTTGCCATATTGATATGATGCAGAATCTGGGCTTGGAAGAAGAGGGGCAGAAGCCCCCGTGGGTTTACCGAAGGCTGGACGGGCTTGAGCCCACCTTCGTGGGCTATTTGCGGGCTGTTTAATTAATATTTATTATTCCTTTTATTTTGTTTCCTAATTTAATTTGTTTCCTAGTAGGATTTATTTAGGACTTCTATTCTTATTAGAATTAGAGGTTTCCTATTTCTATTTAGTTTCCTAGAATGATTTAATTAGGAGTTCTATTAGAACTAGAGGTTTCTTATTCTATTTAGTTTCCTAGATTAATTTATTTAGGATTCCTATTCTTATTAGACCTAGAGGGTTATTTATACCCCTTGTATGCTTCATTCTTGAGGATCGGGGAATAAAAGTTGGTTTAGCCTTTTGGCTTTGGGCAACGGTATTTATTTATCGTTGATTATCGGGCAACGGTTCATACCGTTGATTTTATTTTTTCTGTTCTTATCACATATCAATATAAAATTTCTAAGTTGGATATGCCCAGAGCCGGCTATAGGCCCAGTTAAGGTAGGCATTTGCCTAGGGCCTCTCATTTCTAGGGGCCTCAAAAATTAAAAACATTAGTGTTATGAATAATTATAATTACGTTCTTTTGGTTCGGACTGAGGCGGGGAGGGGGAGGGGAGTTTATTGAAAGGGCAGTTGCTCCTTCTCATCTGCACATGATTCCTCCATAGCCCTTCCCAAACTGCCCTTTCTTCTTTCTTCCATAAAGAAACTATAGAAAAGAAAATCAACAAAAAACCTTTTCCATAGATCCACAGTACTTACGAAAAGTCACTGATGAGATCAAGCTCATGAACTGCTGTTAGTACGTAGAGTTAGAAATGGAATGACTTGGCAATCAATACCGAAACAACCATTAATAAAAATGCCCAAATCCCTTCCTATTCCTAAATCCTAATTGGCAATGACTCAATGAAGTTAAGCCAGCTGCCAAACCATACTTAGAGGAATAGAGAAACGCCGGTGCATCAATGCGGCAACACCAACCGGCGAGCCGGACGGCGCAACCACCCGCCGCCTTATGCTCTTCTTCCCTTGCCAGAGTTTAGTTATATTATTAGTCTTATTCTCTTGGTAATTGGTATATGCGGACCTATGCTTGTTTAAACTTTAGCTTTCTTGTTGACTCATTTGTTTGTGGTTTTTTTGTTAATTAAACTCTGTATTTAGTATTTTCATGAAGGGCAAATCAAAGACTTATGATATATTAAAAGAAAAGAATTAGTTGACAATGATAATACAAACGTTCATTATGATAGTGAGGATAATGATTTAAACAAGAATGTCAATAATCTTAGTGACCACTTAATTGTTGTTAGTGATTTGAATGAGTTAAAATTTTTGTTTCTCATTTTTATTATTTTATATTATAGAAAATAAATTGATAAAATTTGTTAATATAAAGTGAGTTTTTGCCTGGGGCCTTTATAGTGCTCAACCCGCCCCTGGATATGCCTTAACATTGGTTACTGATAACCCGGGACATGTAAATCTAGAAAAAATGTTTAGTACTTCAACAGAGTGCTTTTGTTTTTGAAGTTTGAGTCTTTAACTGGATGCTATGTTTTGTATGGAGGGGGGGGGGGGGGGGGGGTTCCAGATTGGTGATAATAGTAGAGCCTATTTGACTTATGTTTCTATCTTTTTTTGATGTTTGACATTGTATTTATGCATATATGACATATCTAGTCTGGCTGAATTTGATCATTACAGTTTCTAGCTTAGTTAGTCAATGCTTGCTTAGCTTGAATTGGTTATTTTGTTCACAGTTCATTGGAAATTATCAAGAGGCAAATGGAACCAAGAGTGGATGGGGCACAGGTTTGGTTCATTCTTTTAAACTCATATTTTTGCATAATTGTGATGACTACATTTGAAAGTATCATAATGCTTTGCTCTCTTGTCTCTGTAGTTATACTTGCAGAAGCAGTCGCTTTAGTTGCTGCTAGCACTGTTCATCGAGTGTGTATCACAACATGGTAAATGTTAATCTTTCACTCATTGTTTGAAGTTCTTCCATTATCAATTTGTCATGACCTGTGACCACCATGATTACAGAAGTTTACCATATGTCCTAGCAGAATATGTCACTGAGCTTAAAATGGTAACTGGAATAGGAAGAAAACTGAGAGCATGTGTACTAGCGAAATAAGGAACCATCATTTTTTCGAATTCCTTCGAGGATAATAATGTGTCGAAAAAACAAGGCTTGTAGGATTGTACACATGCAAATAGTGTGTGAAATGTGAATTATATATGACTAGCTGCACTGTGGGAATTGAGATGGGTGCAAAAATATTTTGAAAACCATACTTTTATTTTATTTTTAATGCAGCCTTTTATTCTCTGCTGGGCTGCTATATGAGATCAACAAACTCTCTGTGATGATGGCTGCCAAAGGTGAAAGTAAAACCAAAAGGTTCTAGTTGGGAATGACAAACTGATTGTTTTAGGAGCAGTGAATGGTCAAGGATGAGATTGAGACCATTATTTTGTAACCACTTGTAACATCCAACCTGATGATCTTTTATGTTACTTTCCACCCGCTTGCCTCCGATTATTATCAATCCAAAAGAGTTTCTTACAAGACTAGTATATTTCTATTTTATTGTGAGATCACAACTATTAACAATTTAACAGTATTAAGATTTAAGACTGTTAGGTGAAGATGCGCAATTTCTAGGGGTACAAATTCTTTACATAGTCTCCAATAACAGCAGCCTTGGAGAATCCACAATGGCAGAGGTTAAGTTTCATTTCGAAATTGAACTTTACATTTACCATTGGAGAGTTGCATTCTAGTTTAAAATAATAACTTAGTTAAGGTAAAAAAAGGCTAGCTCTATAAACTTAGTCAAGGACTCAAGGTTTAAAAATGCTAGCTTGGGTATTGACGTGGTTTGTTCAGAAGAGGCAAGGCGTAAGACTTGAGGTATTTTGAGGCATAAGCCTCAAAATATACCTACATTAAAACTCAAAATAGTTAAACCAAATAAAAGTGTGCATAATTATAAGTACAAAGAGTCTCAAACACAAACACATGTGACCAGGCCGTCAAACATGATAACTCAAAATGTAAATTTGAACACACAAACATACACATCACACAATGACATAATTTAAAGGTCTAGAAGCTTAATCATGATGACTGGATCTTTGGACTAATCGTCATATCATATAGTCTTATAACCATTGCCCCTTTCACCATCACTATCTAAATCCTCCCATTCTTCTTGGTCTTCATCATCAACATCATTTGGCTCCACTACTTATTTATTTTTCTATTTTTTTCCTTGGTTATCCATCCGCTTGCTTGAACTTTCTATTTCTTTTGATGATTCCCCTTAAATATCAACATCAAGGTAATCCTCAAATGTGTTTAGTTTAACATCATTTTCATTGACACACAATTCATCATCAGACGACAAATCATTAATCATGAATTAAAAGATTCTTCATCATTGGCTAGGGATCTTAATTTAAGGTATCGATCTTTCAATCTTTTGTTGATTATTATATAGACCAATGAGTTCATCGTAATCGTTATGAAGCGATTTCTTCTTTTGGTATGTACTTATTGAAAGTACTCCAATCTTGCTCACATCCGGATAATGAACAAGTAAGGCCTAACACTTTTATTGCAAAATTTTGAAGTTTGGGAATGCCATGTATATATTGAGTCCACCATTATGGAGTATTTCTCAAACTATAAATCCCAATCATAAACTATAATGTGGGTGGAAAGCATAAGTGTCATCTCCATATATCCCAAGAGGCTAAAATATACAATTGTGAAAAGAAAAAAATAATCAGATTTTTGAAGTTTTAAATGTACCGAAATAGAAATGCTATAAAATGGACCAAGGGTTCTCACAGAGAATGTATTCTTTGGACCAAGTGCTACATTAAAGGTCGCCTTTCTTCTAATCCTCTCTCTTAGGTATGAGCCTGACCAAGCCATGAAACAACCCAAGATTAACTTCCTGGTGAGGCGTAAAGCTATTTGCGTAATGGCAATGAGGGTTCAAATAGTAGACAGTTGCATGATAGTGGCGATGCATTTGAAAATCTTTTTTCTCATCAATAATGTCCTGTATCTTGTTGTTATCTTTAATGTATCCAACAAAATTCCTTTCTATCTTTTCCTTTTCCTAATCCATAACATTATAAGGGTACACTATTAGGGTTTGTTTTTCTAAATCAACTAATCTCAACACTTCAACCAATGATTTTGTGGATTTGATAGCATAGGCCAGTAAGGCCACACTTGTCCAAAATGGTTATCCTTGAGAACTATTTTCCTTATTTCTTTGCCTTCATGCTTTTTTGTCCAACTATAGTCCATCCATTGTCGAGAGTAATCATAGATTGCAATGGTTGTTCCTTGATAAATGCCAGCAAAGTAATAAATGCAATGGCGAATTTGGTAGAACCCGATCTACAAGATTTTCATTAACGAATTTCCTCATCAAGCTCAAAAGCCATGGGTAATTATAAATGAAAGTGGTCACTTTATTTGCTTTGATCAAAACTCGAGCATAAGGTGTAAGGTCTGATATTTTTCTAGCATCAAGTCAATGCAATGGGAACCACATGAAGTCCAATATATATGTGGTCTTTTCATCATTAGTGATTTTCTAGTTGCCTTGTAGTTGCATGCATTATCAGTCAGAATTTGGGTTGCGAGTTCTTCCCAACTTCCTCAACAATATCATCGAGCAACTTACACAATAGCTATGCATCTTTGACGTGTGCAGAAGCATCAACACTTTTCAAGAAGACAATGCCACTGAGATTATTGACACAAAAATTGATAAGACTTCTATGTCAAATATCTTCCCAGCCATCAAACATGATTTTACTTTTTTTTGGACAATTCTTTCTAACCTATTATAGTATCTGCTCAATGTTAAGGCCAACATTCTTGAACTGGGATGAGATTCGAACTTGTGACCTCCTCCTTGGGAGTGTCACAGTGATGCCATCAGTCCATTGTGTGCTCATGTTTTTTATTTCATTTAACTACTTTCTCGATTGTATTTATGCACTTCCTTCAATACTCAAGTACTAAGTTCATACATGCTTGGAGGTTCAAGTCCCCAACCATTATGCTCCAACATAAAGCAACATATTAATAAAAGGAGCTATTACCACATAAAAGGGGATTGTTGTTTCAAAGTAGAACTTGCCCATGTCCAAACAAACTTGTTTGCGACACTATGACATTTGCTAGACTCATATTAACATCAACAAAACCACTCACACTCACCATAAATCTGTCCAAAGGCCCCCTAAAACCCCTTGTCAAAAGAGTATCATCATTTGCTTGATCCTCACCACTCAAACACACTCTTCAAATTCTTGTGTCAATTTTTTTGCAACTCCTAGGAGCACTGACCTTATTCAGGATCGCGTCATAGTTTGGGAGTGCGTGGGCCGCTGTGTTCCCCGCGACTTCCCTGGCTTCCATGTCGGCCAGGCGTTTCTCCAAGCGAGCGATTATTTCGTCCTTGGGGTCCCTTGTAGCTGCAGTGACCGCCAGCGGGGGCTGAGCCCGGGCCGCATGGGCCTGATTGAACTGGTAACGGGCGTCATCCTCATTCAGCTTTCCCTTCCCTTTGTCCATGCAGGGTCATTCCGTTGTCCGGGAGACGGACCCCAAGCTTTCACGAGGCGAGTCTGGCTCACGGCCACCCAACCGATTCGCTATCCTACCCTACGGTGCCTGACGGCTCGTGTCACCCAGCTTATTGAAGGCCAAGGTCTTGCCACGAGATTGGGTCGGTACAACGCGGGGAGGAGAGGGGGTATGGGAGTAGGTGTTCATGGCGACGACACCTTCGTCGTTGCCGAAGAAGGTGACAACAAGGGGAGGCGGTGGAGGTGGTGGAACCATCGCGACCTCCCTCGTCTTGGGAGTGTTGTTTTCTCCAGTCTTTGTGGCGATGGCACTCAGGACGTTGGGGTCCTGGAGTATGCTAGCAACAATGGCCGACAGTGCCGCCTGATTGATCTGGGGGGGCAACAGCGGGAGAAGCCTGTTGACCTGATGCGGGCGTCTTGGGCAGTCTTGTTGAGATGGTTGCGGAGGTCATCAGCTAGGTTCTCAACCTCTTAGATGTTCTCCTCCTCAGCCACGAAGTTGTTGATGGCATCATCGCCCGACCTCTCTTCATTCTCCTGAGTCTCGAGATGGTTTTGTCGGTGGGGTTCTTTAACCTAGCTCTTCGCATTTTTGTTAGTTACACCTAGTAGCGATGAAGGGTACTCACTTGATTTGTTCTAGCTCTCAACTAGAGCACCAAATGATAGAATATTTAATTCTAGAATGAAGTGAAAATTAGAGAGAATGAGCAATTAATATTTCTCAACCCTTATAACTACCCCCAAGGGGAGTATTTATAGGAGTAAATGTGAATTTGGGCTCCTAGCCTTGGGCTTAGGAGGCCCATTACAATAATCATGTCTTCTTTGGGGCGGAATATGGCCTTTAATGGGCTGAGTACAATACTTAGCAAACAAGATAAGAAAATACATTCTGTCAGGGGAAGACCCTGGCTGACACGTGCACCCGACCGACGCGGTCCATAGCCGACGCAGGGTCCACTGTCTTCAGGCGACCTTCTGGACACTTTTCTCTCTGGCCGAAAGGTGCCACGTGGGCGCTATCCTAGTGTTTTGACCTTCCGAGTATGTGGGCCATGGGGCGTGAGCCCATCATATACTCTATCATCTCCCAATAGGAGTAAAACATAACACATTTCCCTAAATAGGAGTTAACTCCTAATATTCCCCAAATAGGAGTGAACTTAATTTTTTACCCCTAACACCCTTATTGTAATTTTTTACCCCCAAGAATATTTGAGCAACAGCTTCTCTACAATAGATCAGAAAATCCATACAGAATCAAAATTGACAGAATGGAAAATTTTCAAATCATTCATTCCAATCATGTCGCTGGATCAGCACTGTGCCATCCCTTCGTGCAAGGTGGAATGTTCATGAAGTCATCAAATTCCTTTTCATGAATATCACAGCATTTCCACTACAATGCCACAAACACAGTATTAGGAACCATAAAAAGCATTTAAGGACACAGAGAACAAGATGGACAAGAAAAGAACACTAACTGACTCACCCCTCTCATTCGATCATGGAATACAGCTGGCCCGGGGTGGTAACTGCAAGCATTGTCATGATTTTCTTTCTCTCTGAAGGTCTTACCGCATCCCTTATTCTTACAAATTTGAGGCTCGTTTATATCAATTATCTTCTTTGGTGTGGGATGACACTCCTGTAAATCATGATCACTTCCACTATAGGTGGTGGATACTGTATTTGATGATTTTGGATTTACCTGTCCGGGTTGAGAACCTACAAGAACATCCATAACAAGGAAGACATCAGAATTCGGTGAACCAATTGATGATAAAAGAATGGTTTTCAATCAATTATAAAATGGAACCTCTTCAAGACCACTGCATAGACACGTTAGGAACAATGCACAATCCTAAGTATTCACTCTACAGAACTGAAGACATAAAATTGTACCATGATCTGAACAGAAGAAACCCTGGCGACACCTAGGACAATTTTCATTGAGGGATACATCTGCTATTTGAGTTGAAGCAGGAAATGGTCTGCTTGGAGCAGCAGCTGGCTTTGTTAAAACTGTTTTTTCAGCTGTGTGTTTTCCTGTCTTACACCTTCATAAGAAAAGAAACAAAAATATAATTCCCTCCATCCCACAAAACTTTGCCAAATTTCCCTTTTTACCCCAGTGCCGCAAAGGCTCCAACCTATGGTAGGGTAAGGGGGGTCGGATGTACACAGTCTTACCCCTATACTAAAGCACAGAGAGACTGTTTCCGGATGACCCATAGTGAAAATCGCGTCCAAAATTGCATGGAGTGAATGTTGTTACATAACAAAGAAGTGCAGATAGTTTAGTGAGCCATTTTGCTTTATTCCATCAGATTCTTAAGCCAAAAAATTGTCATTTCCATTTAATGTAACAAATATGTGGCTAAAGTTATTTCTCTCTCCTCTTCACAATTTTCAACCACACAATTTTTACTTTAATATTCTGCATACAAGTCAACTTTGGCCAAGTTTATGGGATGGAGGGAGTATTAAAATGAACTATTTCCTACATCTTTACTAAACTTAACCTTTAAATTTTTTAGTGTCCTAAATAAGCTTCACCTAGGAGAAAGGGGGGAGCGGTTATCTGTGTAATCAGTCTTTGTTACGGTTGAGCACTCTAATTTGTCCAATTCTAGCCTTATAAAAGGAAAGGAATGTGTGGCAAGTACTTTTTCATCCTAAGTATTGACTATATCATCTCTGCTCCATGTATATTTCTTTGGTTAATAAATAGGTGGGGTGTTACCTGGCCCTCACCCCAAAACTCTCGGGTTTTGGACTAAACCGGGTTCTAAAAAAAAATAAAAAATAAAAAATAAAAATAAAAAATAAAAAAAAATAAAAAATAAAAAAATCATCTCTGCTCTCATGATACACATGCAAATGCCAAGGCAAAGTTTATTTAAGGATATATGAGGTATATTGTATAATATTTTGCAAGAGGTAATGGAAGGACATTTTCTTCCTTTAGCTATACATATTTGTAGTTGAATATATGTGTTCTGCAATAGAGTTATGCACAGGACGAGTAAAAAATGGCCTTGAAATGATTAACTTTGGAGAATATGCCAATTTGTGTGAGTGTACTCTAAGCTACAGGATAACAAATTGAATAGACCATTATTTTCCCTATGAAGGTTTGAATCAGTGTGGCATCGGCGGTTGAAAACCAAATTGTGTCTTGGGCAAATAATGTTCTGAGATGATAAGTAGAGCACTAAACCAAAAGATCGCCCAAGACTAAATAATTAATAAGAACATCATTTAGGCACTTAGCATATCAATGGCCCATATTCTCTTATGGTTTGCCAAGGATGGTGACAGTGTGGCACCGGCGGATGATGCGATGGCAGGCCAGTCCGGCGAGGGCGGCGGCAGCGAAGGCGACATCAGGCAACGCCGGTGAGGGTGGCACCAGGCGGCGCCGGCAAGGAAGGAGGCAGTGCACCTACTCGCAGTTGAAAATTTAGGGTTTTATTAAATGTCGTGGGTTATTTAGCTAAAAGCTATTTTTGTCAACTTGGTCTTAAAAGGCTACTACTAAACATAGGTCACGTAAAGACTCCTATTTTGGAAATTTGGAAACCTTTTACTCCTATATAGGTAATTAACTCTAACTTTTAATGTTAATGGGTGAGAATAACTCATAAGAAAATAGTGGTCTTGTGTTTAACTAAATATATCATCCTTCACTTGTTCTGGACTTTTTAATTGGGAAACTGAAAGATAAATTAGCAACACTGGTTAAAAATTATAGCCCTGCTATTTGTACGCACCATTATGCCCACCCTATTTTTGTCTGTGAACGGTGACAAAACATGTCTTGTTTTGTCTGTGCACAAACAACAAGACACGTTTTGTCAAAAAAATAGCCTCTCACATTGGTGGGTACAAATAGTATTTTTCTAAAAATTGTTATGATAACATTCTTCTTGTGGAAATAGTTCTCCAAACATAACAACTTTAAGACTGGTAGGGTAAAAATAAAAATGTTAGTCCATTAAATAAAAATATAAAATTAACTTGGCAGTTCTGCGGCAGTAATTCCTACATCCTTTAATGTTCTGACATGTAAGGGGGGTGAATATGGCCCTGGTTACAACTGTGATGAGCAATGTGCTAGGGTCCACCAGTGTTAGAGTTTATTCTTTGTTGAACTTTTGAAAGACGACAGAGAGTCACGTCTAAATGTCACCAAATGTTAAGTCAAAGAACAACCTAAAAGAGTTTAGATGAAAAGTTGAAAATAATTATAAGTAGACAGAGGGAAACAGTCATACAGCGATTTTCATTCTAACTTAGGTAACAGCCATCAGGAATTCAGGTCAAACTTGCAAAGTTGTGCTGGCAGAATTTCTCACGGGTGAAAGGAATTAGACAAGGTGGCTTTCTCAGCATAAGGGAAAACAACACATGAAGAATATTGCAAAATCCGTACCCAGGAATTTCTAGAAACAAGCTGAAATCATGACTTCTTTTCTTGCAACAATTCCACTCTTTCATTCCGTCGTGGAAAATAGGCTGTCAAACACATAGCTAACATTAGAAAATAATGAAGATTGAAGCATGATATCCTCAAAAAAAGATTAAATGAAAGAGCTGAGTGTATTGACTTGCACCCTGATGAAATGTATGTGTGCAGCCGCAAAATCATGTATATGCATAACAGAACATAGAGTAAGTTTACATCCAAATTCCATAACCTGGGAGGGGGTTGAATAAAACGAAACAATAAAACAAAAAGATAAAGCAATAAACCCCTTTCATAAAAGACAGACAAGATGGAAGTCCATGTAATGCCATTTTAATGAAATTTCATCATAAAACAATAGCTACATTGACAAATTCTTACGATTTATTCATCAATAAAAACTAATATTTACAGATGATAACAACACAGTTTTTTCTAGATTGCTTGCCTAATGTTCTACACCTCGCTGAACCATAGAGTGTTCTATCGGTTTATGTTGAGCCACCATAGTAAATACCTAAAGTATTATTTACTATAGCATTTTAAAGAGTCATTTAGTGGTGATGGTTGGAGTTGCACTAACTGATTTTTCAAGAGCGCCTATTTTAAACATTGGCTCTGTTTGGATAATAGCAGATCAGCCAATTTTGGCGTTTCAAATACTGTTATAGTTTTGACTTTTATCCAATTGCTGAAGTGCTGAACATGGTCGTTTGGTAAACAGCAGAGTGGATTAACGTTTTTGTTTCAAAACGCCATATGTTGACACGCTGGTTAGAGCAGCGTTTGAAGTCAGCAGTTTTGAATAATATATTAAAATCCCATTTAGCCCCTGGTCACTGAAGAATAAGCTTCGCAATTGACAGCATAAAAGTCAAACTATCAAGCAAAACCGCAGTAGCAGCAATAAAAGAGGGCGTATTTCATTTTTATTGTTGTGGGTCTTGGACCCAGAGGCGGAACCAGGACCGTTTTTTAGGAGGGGCTGAAAAGTATGTCAAAATAAAGAGGATTTAAAAAAACTTCGCCAAGTTTGACCGGCACAAGAATTAATAATGTAAAAACCGTGTGGTTGAGGTTTGTGCAGAAGAGAGAATTAAGTGGAACCACAAATTCTTTACTTAAAAGTGAAAATGACAAAGTTAGCGGGGCAGCTAAAAAGGAAAGTTGACAAAGTTTTAAGGGGCGGAGGGAGTATTATATTTATTCTACATAGTATGACTTTTAGGGTAAAAATGACAAAGCAGTCTATAGAGATCTCTAATTATGTACTCTCTTGTACTTGATTTCTAATGAAAGGATAAAAGGCAATAATAGAATTACGCAACTCTAGATCAACAACAATATCATTTGAATTGAATTCCACATGAAAATGTTTATCCCGATAACTTTTTTAGTTAGTTCGTTTGGAATACCCATCACTCGTATTACAAATTGTGATATAGGTAGAGGTAATCTAACAAATTTCAAAAGATTAGAATCATAAATTATTAGAAGATGAATCATATACACATTAAAATCTAAAACAAATAAAACATATCCTAACAATTCACATATTAGACACTTCTATTTTCTGAAATTATTTTAACTACTAAAACAATTTAAAGGAGTAAACAAGTTAAATATTAATTATTAAAAATCTAAAAGGTTGAAACAAGAAAATAGAAGAACTATAACAAGGAATTAAACAAATAATGGAGTAAACAAGGCACAAATTAAAACAAATTACAAATTATACAACCCTACTGCATGGCGTGAACCTCAAAAAGTTTAAATTGGTTTTTAAAATTAAACATATTACTCATTCATCATTTTCATTTACCCCAGTGCCGCAAAGGCTCCCACCTACGGTGAGGTAAGGGGGGGGTCGGATGTACGCAGTCTTACCCTTGTACTTAAGCACAGAGTGACTGTTTCCGGATGACCCATAGTGAAAATCGCGTCCAAAATTGCATGGACTGACTGCTGCTTCATAATAATGAAGCAGTTTAGTGAGCCATTTTGCTTTATTCCATCATATTCTCAAGCCAAAATATAATGAATCTTTGACTTCATTGCAAATGATGGAAAGAAAATTATACATATTACTAAGGGAGTGTTTGCGATTGCTTGTGCTTTTTAAAAGTGATTTTTTAAGAGATTATTGGAAAAGTGATTTGTAGTAAAAGTTGGTAGTGTTTGGGAATAGAAGTGATTTTATTTAAAATGTAAAAGTTGGAGTGTTTGGTAAAAAAGTTATTCCTAAGGTAATATTTTATTGAATTACAAAAATAACCTCCAATTAGATAATCATGCCTCTACAATAAGATGCTCCATCAGTTGCCAACAAAAGGATGTTCCAGGCGTACGGCAGCATTGCTCTGCCCTGGAGAGAAAGCGAGTGAGCTATGGATGGGAAAATCGGAAGAGGCAGAAAAAGGGTTGGTAGAATTGGGCAAAAAAAAAATAGAATATGATGATTAAAATCCGAAGAGAGCAGAAACAGTTGTGCAGATTCCTCCCTGACTGCCGGCGGTGGCGAAGCAAATCTGCTGCGGGAGTGGCGGCGGCGGTCTGGTGTAGCGAAGCACATCGTCCGGCTGCAATTTTTGGAGGGAAGGTGGTTGTCGTGTAGGGATGATGGAAGATGCTCTGCACGAGTGTACTTGGGATAAGGGTACTTTTGGAGTAATTATTATATTTAGAAATAAAAACATCCCAAAAGTTGAACTTATTTACGGAAATACGAAGAAGCAGAAAAAAGCATGCCCAGACCTGCTTTTGGCTTAAAACTGATTAAATTAAGCTGAATTTTTCATTTGCAAACACCCCATTTAGCTTTTACACTCCAAAAAAGCTGAAAGTGCTTTTTTTAAGCATTCACAAACACACCTTAAATCACTTTTAATGCAACACAAATTTAACGAGTAAACAAGTTAAATATTTTCTTACAGAAGCTAAATACAAGTATTACTAAAACTGATAGGGTTCCAACCTGTAACAGAGTAATCCGAGCCACAATAATGGAGAAAAACGAGAGATGAACAGTAATAGGGAGGTCGTTATTAACAAACAAGAGAGAGAGATTGTTCTGGCAGTTTAAAGAGATGCCCCTCCCCAAGTCCCAGCCCAAAATAGCCAAAACCAGCCTCACATCTTCCATTATTTATAATCTGATCCCCATTTCCAATTTCCACCCTGAACTCAGGATTGTGAGTGGCCCCACAATCTATCAATATCACTAAATCTTTGCTTCCCCTGCATCTCTGTATTTCCCCTTTCAATTTAAAAGTCCTTGGAGTGGTCAGAAGACCTTCTTTACTCATCAGTGACAGCTGCATTTTTGAGGGTTCACTTGTTTCTATCTCAGGTGAAGCTTCCAGACTGTAACCTCCTTGTTCTTCCTCCTCCTCAGAATCATCTAACATCACAATCTGAAAGTGTTTCATCTTGCAAATGTGGCCCTTCCCCCATTGTTCCCCACACTTGAAACAGAGCCCCTTTCTGCTCAATTCCTGCAGCTCCGACTGAGTTAGCCTATGTGTTCCCTTCATTCCTGTACTCTTATTGACTGCCTCATTGCTCTTCTCATTATTGGATTTGTCAATACCAGGTTGGTGAGTCAGGTTACTCTTCCATTTGTTCTCCTGCAACCATCTGTGAGACTGGGAGAAAACATTCCCCTTTGGCCCCCTTCTATCATCATCCTTATTCCTGATTGTATTCAGCGTGTTGTTTCTTTCTTCTACCCTCAAAGCCTTATTCATTACTTCTGCCAAGGTTCTGACCGGATTCAGCTTCAATTCAGCTCTAACTTCAGCTTTCAGCCCTTTCATAAAAATTCCTTTGAGAAATTTTACATCAGTATTCTTCAAAGGAGCTGCCACTAGTTCAAACTCATCCCTATACTCCATAACACTTCCAGTTTGCTTCACACTCAGCAATGGGCCATAAGGATCCTGTTCCAATCCATGTTCAAATCTCTGTAGCAAAGCTTCCTTAAACAGTTCCCAGTTTCTTACATTAGCGTGTTCCTCCCACCATTGGTACCAATTTAACGCCGTTCCTTCCATGGCTAAAGTAACTAGCTCAATTTTATCCTCTTCATCAATACGGTTTAGTTTAAAAAATCGTTCCACCTTAATGGTCCATTCATAAGCATCGGTTCCGTTAAAAAGTGGCAAATCCACTTTCCTTCCAGATTTCTCAATCCATCTACTGTAGTTACCATCACGCTTAGAAGATATTGATCGATGTTTACCTGCCGATGAACTGGAGTCGCTGCTACTATTCCGCGTACTTGTTTTGGAAGTTTTAGATCGACCGCGAGAGTTGCGATCGAGCTTCTTCATCACCATCTCGCGGAACTCCTCGATATTGCGATTAACCTCCTCGCTCCGGATTCTAGCCTCCTCGCGATGTCTCTCCAGTTCGCGCTCTACGTTCTCCGACTGCCTCGCCAGCTCGCGCTCCAAAACCTCCAATCTGCCTTCCATTTTCCGTCTGGTAGCGACCATAAACAGGTATCATGATCGTGCTCTGATACCACTATCATTGGTATTAGAGACATCGTCGATCTTTGTGGATAACCTTTACTCTGCGCAAATGGATTTACGATCAAGCAAGCTGGAGAAAACTATGCATAAGAATATGGCGATCCTAACGGACATACAGGAGCGAATCGCGACCCTGGTTAGAAAAGACCAGAACAGAGCGAAGAACAAGTCGCACACTTCACATACGTCGCATCATTCTTCACACCAACGACCCCCACGAAATTCCGATAATGGAGAGAGTGGTAACATCGCACGTCGAGCAGAAAACCCTAGAAACCATTCGTCGCAGTCTCTCACCAGTTCGCAGAAGGAGTCGCGAACTGTTCCTTCTGGTTCGAAGTCGCGAAAGGTTTCGCGCGAAAAAGTGGTGAAGATCGGGGAAAAGATTGAGCACGGAAAAGTGGAGAAGGAGAAGAGCTTAAAACCGGAGAAAGAGAAACGCTCAAGCCTGGAGAAGGAGAAGAGTTCTAAACTGGAGAAAGAGGAACGCTCAAGCCTGGAGAAGGAGAAGCGTG